GTAGTAGTAGTAGTAGTAGTAGTAGTAGTAGTAGTAGTAATAGTTGTAGTAGTAGTAGTAGTAGTAGTAGTAGTAGTAGTAGTAGTCTTAGTAGTAGTAGTACTAGTAGTAGTAGTAGTAGTAGTAGTAGTAGTAGTAGTAGTAGTAGTAGTAGTAGTAGTAGTAGTAGTAGTAGTAGTAGTAGTAGTAGTAGTAGTAGTAGTAGTAGTAGTAGTAGTAGTAGTAGTAGTAGTAGTAGTAGTAGTAGTAGTAGTAGTAGTAGTAGTATTCGTATTATTATTGTTATTATTAATAATAATAGTATAATAATAATAGTATTATTGTTAGTATTATTATTACTAGTAATATGAATGTTATTAATACGATACCGGAGAAAATCTCAATCAGGGCTACAGGGCTAGGAGGCTATAGGGCTATTGAGCTATAGGGCTATAGAGCTATAGGGCTGTAGAGTTGTAGGGCTATAGGGCTATTGGGCTATAAGGCTATAGGGCACCCCCGGGCACCCCCAGGCACCCCCGGGCACGCCCGAGCACCCGGGCACCCGGGCACCCAGGCACCCGCGGGCACCCCCGGGCACCCAGGCAACCGGGCGTGCGAAAATCGGCGGCAAACCTAACCTAACCTCATGAATATTGAGCTATAGGGCTATAGAGCTGTAGGTCTATAGAGTTGTAGGGCTATAGGGCTATTGGGCTATAGGGCACCCCCGGGCACCCCAGGCACCCACGGGCACGCCTGGGCACCCGGGCACCAGGGCACCCGGGCACCAAGGCACCCCCAGGCACGCCCGGGCACCCGCGGGCACCCGGGCATGCACCCGGGCCCCCCCGGGCACCCCCGGGCACCCGGGCACCCCCGGGCACCCCCGGGCACCCCCGGGCACCCCCGGGCACCCGGGCACCCCCAGGCACCCGGGCACCCGGGCGTGCCGCGAAAATCGGCGGCAAACCTAACCTAACCTAACCTTATGAATGATACCGGAGAAAAACCCCAATCAGTGCTATAGGGCTAGGGGGCTATAGAGCTAGGGCTATTGAGCTATAGGGCTATAGAGCTATAGGGCTATAGAGTTGTAGGGCTATCCTATAGGGCTATTGGGCTATTGGGCTATAGGGCTATAGGGCTATTGGGCACCCCCGGGCACCCCCAGGCACCCCCGGGCACGCCCGGGCACCTGGGCACCCGGGCACCCGGGCACCCGCGGGCACCCCCGGGCACCCGGGCGTGCCGCGAAAATCGGCGGCAAACCTAACCTAACCTTATGAATATGAATATTGAGCTATAGGCCTATAGAGCTATAGGTCTATAGAATTGTAGGGCTATAGGGCTATTGGGCTATAGGGCTATAGGGCACCCCCGGGCACCCCCAGGCACCCCTGGGCACGCCCGGGCACCCGGGCACCAGGGCACCGGGCACCAGGGCCCCCCCAGGCACGCCCGGGCACCCGCGGGCACCCGGGCACCCCCGGGCACCCCTGGGCACCCGGGCATCCCCGGGCACCCGGGCACCCGGGCGTGCCGCGAAAATCGGCGGCGAGCCTAACCTAACCATATGAATCCGCTAGGACCCCTACAGGGGCAAGCTCTGAGTGGGGAATTCTTGCTATTGATAGTCTTCTTCATCTTAATATTAGTATTAATCTTCTTATCCTTCATATTTGGTTTCTTCATGTTCGCCTTATTGTTCTTATTTGTATTATTCGTCTTCTTCTTCCCCCTCCTCCACAAGTACACAATGAGAATACTACTCTCCTTTCTCCCCTGGTGACGTCCGGGACATGGCCAGCCTCCCTTTCGCGTACTGGTTTCTTACACACGAGATTGCGGGGTATTCGGTTTTCGCTGGTCTTTTTGTCAAAATGATGCTCTCGCTGAGGCGCTGGCTTCATTTTCGGGCCACGGCTCGTTCCGAATCGTGCTCCCGCTGCAGCGCTGGCCTCATTTCCGCGCTTCCGCTCGTTCCGAATCTACTCCTGCTGCAGCGCTGGCGTCATTATTTCCAGCGCATGCCACGACATGGTTTTCGGTTCTTCCAAAGAAGCCCGAAATCTAGAAAATGCCTCCCTGGAAAAACCATCGGAAGTGATTATTACACATTTGGTGTCGATTCGCTGAGCCCTAATTGCCTCGTTTCCGCGCTTCCGCTCGTTGCGAATCGTGCTCCCGCTGCAGCGCTGGCCTCATTTCCGCGCTTCCGCTCGTTCCGAATCTACTCCCGCTGCAGCGCTGGCGTCATTATTTCCAGCGCCATGCCACGGCATGGTTTTCGGTTCTTCCAAACAAGCCTAAAATCTAGAAAATGCTCCCCCGGAGAAACCATCAGAAGTGATTACACATTTGGTGTCGATTCGCTGATGTTTAGAACCGCCAAAGCCCCGCTGGCCTCATTTCCGCGCTTCTGCTCGTTCCGAATATACTCCCGCTGCAGCGCTGGCGTCATTATTTCCAGCGCCATGCCACGGCATGGTTTTCGGTTCTTCCAAATAGGCCTAAAATCTAGAAAATGCCCCCCCGGAAAAACCATCGGAAGTGATTATACATTTGGTGTCGATTCGCTGATTTTTAGAACCGCAAAAGCCCCGCTGGCCTCATTTCCGCGCTTCCGCTCGTTCCGAATCGTGCTCCCGCTGCAGCGCTGGCCTCATTTCCGCGTTTCTGCTCGTTCCGAATCTACTCCCGCTGCAACGCTGGCGTCATTATTTCCAGCGCCATGCCACGGTATGGTTTCGGTCCTTCCAAATAGGCCCCAAGATCTAAAACTTGGCCTCCCGAAGAAACAATCGGATATGATTGCACATTCGGGCGCTGATTGTCAAGACCATGCTATGCCATGCAATGCTATGCCATGCTGCGACATCCGGTTGTGCGACTAGAGAAGAAATCTACGCCATGGGAAGGGATGGGTGGGAGGGGTAGAACATCAGATATGACGCGAGCGCAACGACCTCCTCCTCCTCCTCCTCCTCCCCCTCCTCTCCTCCTCCTCCCTCCTCCTCCTCCTCCTCCTCCTCCCCCCCCGCCTCCTCCTCCTCCTCCTCCTCCTCCTCCTCCTCCTCCTCCTCCTGCACAGTCGCTGGATACGAATGCGCAGCACCCCACGCGGGCGGATGAGAGCAAGTGGCGGGCGGCGGGACGGGCGAAACCGGGGCCACGCGTGTTTCCCCCATGCGGGACCCCCGTGTGTGGGCCCGTGTGGCACCCCGGGTGTCGCCTCCGCGTGTGGCGTGGCCCCCCAGAGAGGAATGCCTTCGCCCCAACGCGCCGCCCCTAGACGCCGGGCATGGGGAAAGTTAGACCGCTCGTGAGAAAGTCACACCGCTCGGGCCCCCTCGCTCTGACTACACTTCAATCTCCCCGAAGATGGCCCGTGTCGAGCGCCCCTCCCCTCCGCGGTCCAACATGCTTGCCTTGTGACTTTCCAGTCCGAACTTTCTCGGTCCTTCCAAAGTGGTGTTCCCGCTGCAGCGTAGGCATCATTGAAGGACCAGGGCTTTGCACCCGTCGTTCAGAATGGCGTTTTCGCCCCAGCGCGGGCCACTTTTCTGGATCCGAATCATTCCTCACCATTGTCGACCCCCTCCTTTCCACTCCTCCGCCTCCGCCTCCCCCTGGTCCTCCCACCCCTACCGCTTCTTCCACTCGAGCTCCTGCTGCTGCTGTTCTTCTTCGTCGTCCTCCTTCCTCATCCTTGTCCCCCTCCTCCTCCTCCTCCTCCTCCTCCCCCTCCGCCTCCTCCTCCTCCTCTGTCGTCGTCGTCGCCGTCGTCGTCGTCGTGGTCGTCGTCGTCGTCGTCGTCGTCGTCGTCGTAGTCGTCGTCTTTGTCTTTGTCTTTGCCTTTGTCTTTGCCTTTGTCTTTGTCCTGGTCCTTTTCGTTGCCTTTGCCTTTGTCTCTGTCCTTTTCCTTGTCCTTGTCTTTGACTGAAGGGCGGCGGCGGCGGCGGCCGGCCGGCGACCAGACAGCGGACCGCCGCTCCTCGGCCCCCAGCTCCTCCTCCCGCGCCGCGGCGTCGCGGGCCCGCCGCTCGAACTCGCGGGCCTCGCGCACGCGGGCCGAGGAGGCCGCGCAGGCCGCGAGCGTCGTCGTCGTCGTCGTCGCCGTCGCCGTCGTCATCGCTGTCGTCGTCGTCGTCTTCGTCGTCATCGTCGTCGTCGTCGCTCGCGGGCCTCGCACGCGCGCGGGCGCCGCGCCGCCGGAGGCCCCCCCATACGGCAGGTCGGTTTCTGGCACGTCGCTTAACCTTGAACGATCGGCGGGTTCCTGAACGACACATCGTGGGACGCACAAAGACATACCAGTACTGTATGTCCGCCTTGGAGGCGCGCGTGCGACCCGAACAAAACAGTATACCCATCTTGTCGTAGATCGTTTCCCCAGCGGTGTGGCCAGAAAGCGCCCGCCACGACGCATATACTAGAAGATTTCTCGGTGCGCGCGTCGCCCTTGAGAGGGGCGACGCACACGTAGTATCAGTATGTTGGGGTGACGCCGAGATCGTTATATGTTGGCCGATTCTGAGCCTCTGGCGGTGTTCAGCGTTCCACCTTCGCCCGCGGCAGGGTCGCTGCCGCGTCTGCGCGACGCGAATCCTCCGCAGTATGATTCTATGGTGGTGGCATCGGATGAGGAGCCGCTGGGACCCCACTCGGTGATGGCACTGGATGCATCCAGGGCCTGGAACCCCACTCGTGGAGTAGTCACGGAGATCACTGCCACCCTCAAGGAATCGGCCAACGTCTGACGCCTCCTGGGCGCGCCGCTGGAACACGCGCGGAACTCGCGCGCGAGCGCGGGGCGCGCGCGAGAGGGCGCCCCGCCGCCGGAGGTCCTCGTCGGTGGCTCGGTGATGCGGACTCGTCTGCCCACGAGGGACCGGAGCCCTCGCCCTCGCCCCTGCTTCGCCCAGCAGCCAAAGCGTCGCTGGGGCTTGGGGCGGGGACTGCAGACGCGAGCGGCAACACGGGCCCAAAGTGGAGGCCCAGGGGAACTTCCCCTGAGGAGGGGGCGACCCACGGAAGGGCGACACGAGGAGGAGCAACAGAGGAGAAGAGAGAAAGGGGGGAGGGGAAGAGGAGCACCGAGAGAGGAGGAGGAGGAGGAGGAGGAGGAGGAGGAGGAGGAGGAGGAGGAGGAGGAGGAGGAGGAGGAAGGAGGAGGAGGAGGAGGAGGAGGAGGAGGAGGAGGAGGAGGAGGAGGAGGAGGAGGAGGAGGAGGAGGAGGAGGAGGAGGAGGAGGAGAGGAGGAGGAGGAGGAGGAGGAGGAGGAGGAGGAGGAGGAGGAGGAGGAGGAGGAGCCAGGGGGAGCAGCAGGCACGACGGAGGTGGCCGGGACAAGGGAGGGGAAAGGTCGCCAACACAGCTGACACCCTCCGTGGGAACCCCCCAAAAAGTTGGGTTCTATTAGGGGGCTTCGGCGGCATCGGCGGTCTTACAGTCACTGTCGCTCGTGTTCGTGCTGATTCGCCTCCCCCCCGTCCTCATCTCCCCCCTTTGCGATCCGTACCGCGGGGCGGCAGTAGGCGTGCGGCGCGGGGAGGTGCGCGCCCCCCTCTAGGGGGAAGCGCGCCGCGTTGTGGCCTCAGGAAGAACGATTGTGGCCGCTGTACTCTGGGCCTGTGTGCCATCGACCATTCGATAGCATGGTTGCGTCGAGCCCAGTCTGGTTCGGAAATCGTCGCCGTTTCCCTCTCCTCCTGCTCCACCTCCTCCTCCTCCTCCTCGTCCTCCTCCTCCTCCTGCACCACCTCAAACATACGATCCCGCAGAATTGCAGCGGTGCACGCCCTGTGGCCAGCTGTGCTGTTGGCCGCTAGTGGCCAAGGCACACAAGGCCTGACATGCAAGTGATTCGGCAGGTCGGCTGCCAAGCGTTGCCGCCTGACGCTGCGGGCTCGGGCGGGATCCTGCTGCTCCGTGACGCGGCGGGGGTCGCGGCGGGCGCGGCGCCCTCGCGCTCCTCAAAACAGGGCGGGCGAAGGAGGGGGGCGAGGGGGACCCCCCAGGGGGCGGCCGCGGAGAAGGCAGAACCCGACGGGAGGGAGGCGAGGTTCAAAATGGAGGGCTCGAGCGGGGGTCGGGTCTGCGCTGTCTCGGCGGCGCCGGGGAGGCGCCAGGCGATTGCGCCCGTCGCGCCGCCAGGGGGGCCAAGGGGGGGTGGGCGTTGAGTTCAGGCCCGTCGGTGTTTTTGTCTCCCCTCATGGCGATCTGCATGGCGGCAGGGCTAGGCGGCCATCCGTCTGCGAGGAGCCCCTTCTGCAGCCCGTAGGGGACGATGCGTTCAAGGGCGAAGCCGTCTTCCAGCGCGGGGAGGAGAGCGCGGGCCTGGTCGATCGACAGGGCGGCCTCTGGGATGCTGGCGTGACCCCCAGCGAAGGTGGAGGTGAGCTCGTACGACTTGTTGCGCACCGGGATGGCACGGTGGGCGTCTCCCCGGGCAGTCCTCCCGGTGTCAGAAGAGTGGAGCTCGCTGCATTCACCACGTAAGTCTTCGGCGCGAACCTTGAGAAATTCGGCCAAGGACCGGCACTGCTTCAGGTTGAGGTCCTTCACCGGAAGCCAGGGCAAAAAGGGCACCGGGGGGCGGTCAGCGAGGGGGTTGAGGAGCCCGCCGAGGAGAGCCTTGTTGTAGTACGCCATGGATGGGAAGAAAGCGAGGAAGGGGTGCATGCGGTACGACAGCGAAAGGATGATGGAGGCTCCTTCCTGCTCCCCGAACGAATCGTAGAGGCGCTGGAAGATCGAGAGGGCCAGGCCCATGTCTGCTGCCTTCTTGGACATGACGGTGGGGGGAAGCTGCTGGGGGTCGCCTACCACCACGAGGTATCCGCCGCTGCGGATTATGTGTGCCAGAGACATCGCGGCGTTCCCTTCGTTCGACTGGCCGGCCTCGTCACTCCCAGCGGGAGGCTGAGTGACGACTTGCCTCCCAGCTCGGCGGCGGCCTCGTGCGTGGCGAAGACGGCGCGTGTTTGCTGGAGTAGCTGCTTTGCGCAGGCGGAGAATATGGTGTTCTTCCCGTGCTCGAGGGGGTAGCTGCCGTGGGCTGCGCGGTAGGGTCCTTCCGGGGCGATGGCAACCACCTCTTGGTCGACTCTCTCTCGGCGGGCGAGCCGGACGAAGGCGTGGTGGAATCCGACCGCGTCATCGAGCTGGTGGTTGTGCTTGGCTGCGGAGAAGGACTTAAGGGGCTGATCGGCTGCCGCGTTGGAACCGGTGAACACTCCGACGGCCTGGCCGTTGCAGAGGGCGGGGGCCCACGCTGCCACTAGGGCGACCTTGGTAGCTGTCTTTCCCGACCACAGTGAGGTGGTGCTTGGTGCTCGCGTGGAGAACTTGCTCAGAGTGCTCGTTGAGGCCGTGCGCTGCGGCGGCACGGTCAAGCAACTGGCCGACAGGGACGCACCTGGTGCGCTGGAAGGCTTGACTGGTGTTCTTCTCGATACCGGCAGCATCGAAGGCCGGGTAGCCTGCGATGTTGGGGACAGCAACGTCTATCGTGTCGGGGTCGGAAATGGGCGTGTTGAGGGTAGAGGCGGCCCGACGCCGGAGGGCGATGCCGTTGGCGTGGCCCGAGCGCACTTTGTTGGCAGCCTGTTTGTCCGTGACCTCAGCGCTCCTGAAGCCCAGCATGTAGGCGAGGACGGGGACAGGGACCCCAAACAGGTCGTGGGGGTCGTGGCTCCGCATGTTGATCTCAATGGGGGCAAAGTGTCGCCTCCAATATTGAATATCGGAGGAAATTCTGTCAACTCTGTAATGGCTCTGGACGGTTTACCCCGTGGCGGGTCTCCCTTGCGGTCTGGGTGGACGGGCCCGTGCTTGCCGTGGTTGTGATGCACTTTACATGAGTTGGATGGGTACCGGGTTCGGCTGGTGGGGATAGTTTTTGTCGCAACCGCAGGCGAGGGCGCCAGCGGCGAGTCAGGTCCGAGCGGGCCGCGCAAGAGCCGAGGCTGGTGGGGATACGCGAACCGTCTAGAATTCGAGGATCCCATCAGCCGGACGCGGCTATACGTGATTCGTGTGAAATTCTGTGTGGTAGCATGAACGAAACGATGAAGACGAACACCCACAACAACGGTGCGAATTCGAACGCTGATGATAGCAATGGCAAGCAACACGTAGACATAAGAACATACACGAACATCCACAAATCCGCATGGACATCTCATAAACGTCTACTTACACCCGGGTTCCGCCTCGCTAGTATGATTATCATCATTATTATTATTGATGTTATTATGAGTATGATGATGACCATTATTATTAGTACTACGATTATTAATATTAGTATGAGTATTGATATTAAGTTTAGTATTCGTAGTAGTATTATTAATCTTATTCGTATTATAATAATTATTATTACTACTACTATTCCTATTATTAGTAGTATTATTAGTATTATTATCATTATTATTATAATTCGACTCATAGGCGCTCGTGACAGCGCGTGCGAAAAAGATCTGCCCGGCGGCGCGCCCAGGGGGAGGACGGCGGACCTTCTCAGAAGGCTCAGAGGCTCCAACCCTCGATGATCGGCGGCGCCTTGGATCAAAGCTGCGGCCGTGGCTACGGCAGGGCTGCGGCGGTGCGAATTGGGCAACGAGGCGGCAGCAAGGGCGGGAGGGAAGGGGGGAGAGGGGGCACAGGGCCGCGAACGGCTGGAGCGCCCTCGGAGCGTGAAGCACCTTCCAGGAAGTCCTCCTGACGTGACTCGACTGCCTTTGAATCAAGTTGGCGAGCCCCACATGTGCGTCGTTCGGCCCCGCTGGGAAAAGAGCCGACCTCCCCACCCCGGCGGCGCCCGCCGCCTGCTCGCTTGCCGCCCGCGTGCCCGCGGAGACCGAGTCCATCTCGGCGCAGAGCCGCGCGTGCGAGGCCTGAGCGGCCACCAGCGACGCCGACGACGACGCCGCCGACGACGGCACGACGACGCTGACGGCGACGGCGCCGACGGTGCCGACGGCGGCGCCGGCGACGACTGCCGACGGCGGCGATGAGATGAGGCGGCCACTTCTAAATCTCACGGGTGGGGGAGGTGACGACTCAGCATGCACAAAGACCTCTGGAGGTCTCAAACTCGGAAACTTAGTACTGTCGATTCGCGATCCCCTCCTCCTCCTCCTCCTCCTCCGCCTCCACCTCCTCCGCCTCCACCTCCTCCTCCACCTCCTCCTCTTCCGCCTCCTCCTACTACTCCTCCTCCTCTCCTTCTCCTTATGTTCTTCTCCGTATACTTTCAATATTCCTATTACTCTTATTTTTACTAGCATTCATGTTCCTATTCTTATAGTAGTAGTGTTCTTCTTCGTGCTGTTCTCATAAACATTATTGGTAGCATTCTTATTCTTAATATATCATGTTTCTTCTGAAGGTTCCTTCTTATCAGTAGTATTATTGTTTTGATATTCTTGGTATTGTTATTAGTACTACTGTTACTGGCATTAACAATATCATTATTGTTAGCACTACTACTACGAGTTCCCTACCTAGGCTCTGCCTAGAAGGGTTCTTACCCTGTACCTTAAAGGGGCCGGGCAGTGTTCCACGCCCTGGGCGGTTACCCCGGCATTCGCCCCGTGGTTCCCCCGGTGACGTC